GGATGCTCTAAAAAAAGGAAAATCAGTCACTAGCCTTTATTTCTCCCTGAATGAAGAGCTTTAGAAGACAAGAAATGCGCAAAAATCGTACCGTCCAGCAGTTGTCTGACGTGGTTCGTAAAGAAACAGCACGGATCAGGTCAAGGAAAATTAAGTCGACAACGTCTTCGAGGCTTCATGAGCAGTACCTATGAGCACGATAGTAAGAGATTATTGAAACAAATTTCAAAAAATTTCAAAAAAAACAAGGACGAGCAAGGATACGTATCGGTTCGAATCCTTCTTTCCACGGAGAGAGAAAGGGCTGAGGGTAATCAGCTTGTATTTCTTTCTTCTCGCCGAAACTCCCATTTGTCCGGAGTCTTCACTTATTCGAAGCCTCAGTATTAGCAGGGCCTTACATCACACCAAAGCTCACAGCTGTCAGTAAACCTCAAAAGCTGACAGTAAAAATGGAGTATAGACATCATTTTGTAAAGTGATAAAAGAAGGATGGATTCTTGGTCGCTAGCTATGTCGCTAGTAAAAAGATCGAAGGGGGCAAAAGATTCCATGAAAAGTACTACTGCTATTGAAATAAGGGCAAATTCAAAACCACACACATATGTGCACAGCTACCCACCCACATTCTCTAACACACACACGGGCACCCGAATACCGTGCACATGCCCACATTCGCAGATCATATTTTGTAATAAGATGTAAACCTGCACGTCGTGCGAACATGCAAACTTCTCTTACATAATCCAATGAACCAATCTCATTGAGCACAACATCCCCTCAACTTCGCCTTTCGCATGAAACGGTGGAAATAAAAGTGTTCCCGCGAAAATCAATGAACACACCAATAATCTATGAAGGTATCGCAGTGCCTAAAAATCGGTCACATTAGCCGCATTCTGTGGAAACCTGTGAGAGCTGTGAGACTCAACGATCAAGGGGGAACAAGTGAGCAATTTCAATTTGGAATGAGAACTCGATACTCTCGGGGAGAGAGAGGGACGAGAAGCTGGAAAGCGGGTGCTACATCACAACGCTTCCTGTGTCTCCTCCCCTGTGCAAGGCTTACGCACAGAGCGCAGGCGGGCTGAACTGCTGGGGATACCCTCACAGAGCATTCTCTTCGCGTTTCTGGACGTCAGCGCTCTATGCCTAGGTCTATTCATGGGAACGGAAGGCATTGGAACGATCAACTTTTGGAGAGGATGACACCTCCAAACCAGTTGTTCCTTCCCTGAGTATTTCTTTAAAGTAGCACGCCAAGAAGCTCGATAAAGCGGCACAAAAAGAAAAACATTCACAAAAATCATACTAAGAAGAAAAAAAACAGGCTAATCATGCGAAGAAACTCACCAGGATCGGGATCCTGGTCCGAATTTGCGGGGATGCGAGAACCACAGGTTGGCGAAGCCCATTGCGAGTTTTGCTGAAATAATGAAGGATCCCAGTGATAAATCAGTAGCGGATAAGATTGCGTGGACGTGCGTGGACATAAAAAACTGAACCTCGGACTCTTTCTAGAATATAAAGTTCCCTCAAATCACACGGAAAAAAAGAAACAACCACGGCAAAAGAGGAAGAATGTTTACATTTGTGCTAGCTTATAGAACACCCTTCACTTAAACTTACAGAAGTTCGCGGACAAGATTTCAAGCGTTTTGCCACTCTTGGAATGAGGTGCAGCACAACCCCAACGAAAGGATAAATTATATTAAATTATAGCAAATGATCTTTGTTTAGAGGCACATTCATACATCGGTCGGTTCGGGTACGCTCGAACACTGCAGCAGCGTTTTGGGCGCCCACTCGAAACAAAGAACACACACTTATGTAGCCCTTTGAAGCTATAATATTCCATTCGTTTGTTTCACGCAAATAATCTGTGCCCGAAAATAAACGAATAGAAGAGGGCTAGTCCTGGGATGGGTCTTCTGCTAAAATGCGAGTGTAACAACTTCAACTCTACTGTTGTGAAAAAGTATGTCTCGGTGAAGACTCAGGTAAACTGTAACTGACACCCAATAGAATACAATTACTACAATACAAAAACCACACTACACAACAGAGAAAAAGAAAAAAAAAGAAGAAGAAAGAACAGAAAAGAGAAAAAAAAGAATACACGCCATCGACCAAGCTGTTGCAAACTGGCCAGCTTTTCTTTCTCAATGAGTAATTTCCTGTGTTCCAAACAGTATTTTAGATCCCTCAGTCCTCATATGTGGCTCCAAGCCGTGCCTTTAATGATGCCACTGAAAAAAGTCATAACTCGGTTCCAGAGCACTCCCGAGATGAGGAAACAGTGCAGTAAAGTTAACAAAGGCCTGACCGACCAAACAGAGGAGATACAGTTAAAATGGGAGTGCCTATTTGAGAACGAAGGCGCGCTTCCCGTGTCACTGAAAAGTCCCCATAACTTGGCTACAGAGCAGCGGAGACTAGAAAAAGTGGATTTAGGTTAGCACTGGGTTGGCACGCCAAATGGAGGAGGAGACACCCGAAATGGGCGGGGCGTACTTGAGATGGGCGGCGCTTCCCACAAAGGTCGGTAACTCGGTCCCGAAAATGTTTAGGGATCGCAGAAAAGTCCATGACGAAGATTAACGTCTGGCAAGAGTCTACCGTTTATGGCGTGCTGCCCGCCTACAGTGGCGGGCGTGCATTTGAGCACGAGGAACAGTATAAAAAGTCGTAGTTTGGTCCTAAAGCACTGCAGAAGGTGCCAAAATGTGGATTATGGTCCCCAAGTGATCAAATGTAAGGATGTGCGAGGCACTCCCGCTGTGGGCGGAGCCTGCACCGAGGTGGGCGGAGCCAAATTCGGGAAGAATTCGCAAAACGGTTCCAGAGCACTCCAGACACCGGGAAAAAGTAGTTTAAGATCAGCGAGGAGTTATTTGTTGAGAAGCGCGAGGCATACGTTGTAGGTGGGGCGTACCCTGAAGTGGGTGGAGAAATTTTAAAAATTCACAACACGGTTCCAGAGCACTCCAGACACCGGGAAAAAGTGGTTTAAGGTCATCGAGGGGTAACCGGTTCACAAGTGTAAGCATACCTGTTGTGTGTGGAGCGTGCGTCAAGGTGAGCGGGGCCAGCCTCAAAAATTCTTCAAGCGGTTCCAGAGCACTCCAGGCACTTCGAACCTCTGCGTGATACGGCCCGGCTTTGCGGGGCGTGGCTCCATCGCGCCTACCTACATTCGTACGATCAAATGCTCGACTAATACCCGGCTTTTCTCTCATCTGTCCACTTGATCAACGCTCCTTACCACCACTCCATACACCGTAATAGTGTTGAAAGGAGCAGGTATGATGCTATTGGTCAAAGAATGTTGACCACCTGTTCGAGGAGCCTGATACTAGGCGGCTAATGAAATGTGTGGAAGAAGGTAAGCGCGGCGGAGCCGCGCAGTATCCTAGGAGGCGCGCCGGAGTCAGCCGGCGAAGCCGGCTGGTAGTTCCTATAGCTGACAAAATGCGAGAAACGCGCCTTCGATGGTACGGCCACGTACTTCGCGCAAAGGCTGACACCGTCTGTAAGACTGGCCTTCAGCTTGAGGTGCCCGGAAAGCGCCCAAGGAACGTCCCAAGCAGCGCTGGATCGATACGCTGCATGCAGACTTGAAAATACACGGAATCCTCACGACCAGGCATTTAATCAGGGAAAATGGCGTTGTCATATCCGACAGCGCTACCCGAGCGGGACAAACGGTAATGAATAAGATTTCTCCCTTTGAATACTTCGGTGTTTGGACCTCCCCCAGCGATCTTAATGTAAAGAAAATGGACCAGTATTGGGTTGGTTCAACCCTCCAATTGTTCTGGACCCTGTCAGGTAGGTTACTCAGTCTACAATTTGAGGTGCGGCTCTGCAAGGACAGATACTCCACACCTGCAGAGAGCCGAACCTCCACACCTGCAGAGGCCGAACCCAGGTTGACTGGAGGCAGCGCAACAACAGTCCATTTTCGTGAATGCAGTATTTCAGATGGCTGAGAAAGGTGCTAAAGCGTGCAGAATACCAAAGGAAAAAATGAGGAACGAAATTTGCTCACCAGCGGGCGGGTTTCAGCGACCGGCAGCGTGATGGCCTAGAAAAGTGATAGTTTATTCGGCTAGCGTGCAGCAGCGCCGTATCATCGTCCAACAGGGCAGGCAACCTACTCAGCAGCAGACCGCTGGTAGAGAGTATAGCGCGATAGCAGTTGTCCGCGCCTCTTCTATCGCGTCGTACTCTCAACCAGCAGTCTGCTACCCCCGATCTATCCATACTCTACCAGCTGTCTGCTGCTCTCTTATCGCCCCTCCACTCTCGGACGCTGCTGTTGCTGGCAGACGCTGGGAGACGCTTGATTGATATTTATACTTTTCTAGTCCCTGACGCTGTCGGACCCTAGTAACGCTGTTGGACGCGCCACAAAGTATGAACGCAACATTAAGGTACAAAACCATGAGCGAAGTTATAGCCTCTCCCAGGATTACAGCCCACGTTCACCTTTGGGTAATGAAGCAAAGACGATAGAAGAAAACATTCACTTTATTAACAATAACACACAGAACTGTCAGTAGGTTCAAGCAATCGCTGTCAACAGAATGAAAGGACAACGAATTGGCTACGAGATCACTCTCACCCTTCAATTGTTCTGTGTCAGTCAGTCCAAACAACACAATGAGCAAATAGTATGATGCTTCGTCATCAACCAGTTGTACAGAAGAAACAAGTAAAAATGAGCATTCCTGGACGTACATGAAGTACTGTCCTCTCAAAAGGGCAGGTTCTGTGCCTTAGAGCACGTCGTCAAACAAGTACTAGTCCTTCAGTAAAAGGATCTCAAGATAGAACAATTCTCACAAAGTAACGCTGCGATCTGACGTTGATCTACACTAGAAGAATTCCAGAACTGCTATGCACCCATACACACGTTGGCTCCACCGGACATGATTCTCGGACGTGTTCGTTTTTTCTGATCCTTCAGAGGGTTAAGGGAGTTTTGACCGATGGCATTATGGGATCTGCACGAAAGAGCACTGGTCACTTGATTTAGGGGTTCTGGAATCGAGCTTCGCTGCGCAACTGTCGCACATGACTGATGCTGTCGAAGCGGTCTCGGCAGCTGCATCGAGATTGCTTAGATCGTTTCTGCTCAAGTGGTCCACAATTCCACATCCGAGAGAGGCTGCTACAATGTTGGTGCATGTACGGAAACGATCTCTGAAAGGGAGGAGATTAGTGGTGACTGTGTTTCCAAGATTTGCGACAAGCTGAAATTTGTTCAAAGTAGAGCACTTACAGTAGCCAGTCGACGGTAAAAATGAGCGAAAGGTCATCAATTGGCAGTCCAAGCGCCGACAGGACGATGATCATCGTGACCAAAGCGGAACTAGGCACAGTTGCTGCACCAGCCGATGCCAAGCAGGCAGTTACACTAGAAACGGAAGATGACTCGGTGAGTAAGTTGAGATAGAGAACCGTCAAGAGTGCGAATAACATTGGGGGAGGGGAGCTTTTGAGGAACTCTTTGTTCAAAATTGAGATGAGGCTGCGTTCATACTTTGCGGCAGCGTCCACCAGCGACTACTAGCATTCCGAGCGTCCGGCAGCGTCAGCAGAAAATACAGATATCGATCTAGCGTCTGCCAGCGTCTGCGACCGGGAGTAGAGAGTATGGGGAAGTAGGAGGGTAGCAAACAGCTGGATTAGGCGTAGCGAAATTGCGGCGTGTGCAACCGCGCCGTACATTTACACTCGCCGTGAATTAAATGGCGACATTCTGGACTTTAGCAGTTGTACGGTGCGGTTGCACACGCCGCAATTTCACGACGCCTAATCCAGCTGTTTGCTACCCTCCTACTTCCCCATACTCTCTACTCCCGGTCGCTGGTTAACGCTGATGGACAAAGTATGAACGCAGCCTTATGCCAGACGACGGTTTTTGCCTAAGCGTAACGGGAGCAAGAATTCTGGATAGACAAACAATTTTTAGCCAACCCGTTCTTACTAGTAACCACAGTTTGAGCCAAGGAGACCTTCAAATGCCCACCATAGAGGCTCTGAGCCCCTCATACATATGTCTGTCTCTTATAATTTAATCGAAAGACTAGTACACATTCACCATAGGGTAATATATTGTCCCATGTCGAGGGTGATGCCATTCATTTGAGCAATGAAGATTGGAGAAACCGCTTGGAACAGTGCCGTGCCAATCTGAATAATTTCTATTACATTTCTCTACAATCTCAGAATTTCATATCACGTCATACTAATAATAATGATGAATAAGATTTTATAGTATTTCGATCGGTAGAATCATTAATACATCTTTCTTATCTAAGTTTTGAGGGGGCTGACTCAAAGAAGTAGCCTAGTTTCCGTTTCGCACGTGCCCTTAGACGGAAACTAAGCATTTTGCAATATCCTCCTTCTGTGCTCATCAGTAAGGGAAAGGAGGAATAAGGCGTTTCATCTTGATAATTTGAATATTATATGAATTTAGTAAAAGCAAATAAATGTTCACTCAAATTAATCTACTTGTTCTTGTTTGTAAGAAATTTTATGTCTCATATGCAGCTTCTTTCTGTTATAGAACGTGTTTGTACATCACACAGAAGTCTACGTATGTGAAAAAATAAGAACAGAAAGAAACGTTCAGATGTTCATTAAAATTTCTTTAAAAAAATTCTAAAATTTTTTGAAACTCACCGTCTCTTCCTCTGTGAACCATGTAAATGAGGTTGAATGAGTCAGGTTATTTACAAAAGAAATATCAGGGTTTATCACTAAGAATAGTTTGAGTTCATTTTTGATTCGAATCGCTTGCAAATTTTCTTATCACCGCCCCTGAGACGTCATACTACTCATATTATATTCAGTAGTCACTACTTCATATTATATTCATATACTTCATAACTTCTAATTTCCTTTATTTTTATGTCGATTATTATGCTCTTTTCCTTGTATTTTGCCTTATTTCAGGCATTTATTCAAATGGCTTGCATTCTTTCAGATTCATTCAGAGCCAGTACAATTTAAAATTGTTCAAAATAACTCACCTTCCACTTTCGAAGCTTGAAGAGCTGAAAAAGTGGGAATTCGCCACCAAACTCTCATTGAAAATCAGTGATTTCACCGTCATAGCGAGCCGCACCGCGTCACATTGCAGCGCGGCTCAGCCGCCCTACCCAATGCATGAGGACTAGTGTCCTTTACAGCGAAGAATCGACGGATGACCCCACCGAAGAGCTTTCCAGGAAATATTTTAGGGTAGACCTATTACCATCCGACCCTTTGTCCCTGCAGGTGGCGAGTTCTTCTCATTCATGAAGTGTAAACGCGGATTCAAAGGACAAGATCATTCATGATCCTCAAAAAACTTGACCATAAAAAGGCAAACTGTATTCGAACCTCCGATGACGATCTTTTCCCTATGCGAGGTTAGTGGGTCCGCAGCTGCCATAAGTGCACGAGAACTGGGCTGGAGAATAGTGATAACAGGGTGCCGTCTCCATACTCTTCATCCTCAATGTGCAGCCCTAGTCGATGGCAGGATTCCGCAGCGAAACACGTATTCAGCGGTAGAGAACTCCAGAAGTAAGAGTTTGCAGACGAGCAGCGCGTTGGCTATGTGTGCTTATGGCTAGCCGTTGTGCAGCACGGGCGAAGTTCGGAAACGGCACTTGGGTCTCTTTATCTTCTAGCCCCTCCCCGTGCACTTTCGAGCGGAGAAAGTGTCGCGCTACTGCGGCTGCTGACCCACTCACCACGGAGGGGTTGAGATCCAGTCAGGTGAGTGTTTAGTTTGTCTTCGAGCAAATCAACTGATCTCTTCTCACCGACAAACTTAAGGACGAGCAGTTTGAAAGGGGAAGGAACTGGTCACAGTGTCTTTTTTAACACGTGCGACAAGAGCTTGCCAAAAGAGTATCTGTAGAAAGGAATTGAATGTCGCAGGACAGGGATAGCGCAAATTTGAACATGGACAACATTTCTATCTGGAGGTGGAAATGTGAGTTGCAGACTTACTGTTGCCAGGATTGTGCCGACGGTCAACACAAATTTAGCCACTCGAGGATCCAAGTTCAAGTCACGTACACATTGGAAGGTGACCGGAAGACTGGCGGCACTTTAAAATAGGTTGTCAATTGCTGAACAAAATCCAGTCTAAACTACGGTAGCGCCTACCTCGATGATGTGGCGATGCCCTGTAGCAAGGCTCTAGTTAGCGCCTTTATGAACTTGTATGGGTTCCTCCTCGTTATTATCGCGTAGAGAAGCGGCAGTGTGACAAGAGAGACAATGGACAGCCCTGAAAGAACGAAAAGTGTTGCGAGTAAAGTGAGACCGTGAATCGTTCCGCGAGGTTGAGGTTCATACTTAGCGGCGGCATCACCAGCGTCTACCAACGTCCACCAGCGTTCAGCGACCGGGAATAGAGAGCGCTTGGGGAAGTAGGAGGTTAGCACACAGTTGGATTAGGCGTCGTGAAATTGCGGCGTGTGCAACCGCATCGTACAACTACACTACACCGTACATTCAAATGTATAATTCTGTGCTTTAGCAGTTGTGCGGTGCACTGACCTTGGTGCTGGCAGCGCTTGATCAATATCTATACTTTCCTAGTGGCTGACTCACGCTCGGAACGGCCAGTGGTCGTTGTTGAACGCTGGTGGACGCTAGTGGACGCTACTGCGAAGCACGAACGCATCCTTACCGAGAATGACGGAAACGATGAAGAAACCAAGCATGCGGAATGTGCCAACGACATCTTTCACTTGCAGCATTTTCTGGGCAATCATCGATGGGATGCCAATTGGGCCCAGCCTAAAGAGCGATCCAGTTCTTTTCTTCGATCTGATCCCGCTGTGACAACAACCTCGTAATGATGAAGTCATTTCACTTACCACATGATGGCCGCCATAAAGCGAGTTATAACCACATCAAGCGCCTTGAAAAGCTCAGCCAGTGGACGAGCTTCGTTTCCGCACGCTGAGATCACCACTCCGAGTGCCGATGAGAACATCACAATGCCTTAATAGATACGAATCTGTGAGCGAAATTAGCTCCAGTACTGGAAAAAACAGATGAGGCTACTAAAAGCTGAAATAGTTTCACTTTTGTCAGTGTTTTCGTATGATGCGCGAGGGAAACGACTGGGAAAAACTGGGTTTCCGGATGAGTTCATGTTTTGTTTACGTTTCATCACTTCACTAAAACAACATTCTTTTTTCTTTCAGGCCCAATTTTTCTGATATATTATGAACTCTTCGCGTCGATCAATCCCTTTGTGGGATCCGGCACGCATTCTACTTATTATATTCAGAGTCGTGGCTTGTTGAATGCGACACGGCCTATACAATGACTTGCATGGCAGCCGATATACGGTCAGTGTTCTTATGCTTCCCACACGAATCTGGTACCAATTTACCCGAAGGGCTCTGATTTTACAGGAGCAGCAACAGGTCGGTGTTTCTGGAACAGTTGCAATAACGTCTTTGTCCGGACAAAGCAACAGGTCGGTTGCCTATAAACCAAAGATTCCACGAAAAACGCATCCTGCGCCCATTTTCAAACGAAGTTCGCGAATCGAGCCACGCCTTCCCAGTCTCCGGGATATGAAGTGTACTAACAGCGGCAAAAGAGCGTTGCCTTCCTGAAGTGTGCTTGGTGAAGGTCATGCCTGTAGTAAATGAATCAGTTTCTGCAAAATTCTTGGGAAGACTTTGCCATTGTTCTTAATGTCAAGGACATTGTCGCATCGTGTTTTATAAAGATTTCTCTAGCTGGGGAATGATTCGCGCGAGGGAGTTCAAAAAAATGGCCTCGCTTACTGTTAACAAGTGTAAAGTGGTTTCTTTGACTGATGATGAGCCTCGTTTCGCTTACGAAACCTGCTGTTGAATCGAAAAATTCCTATGTTCATTCCATTTGCAAATACGGGACGCCCTGAATTAAAGGCAAACCCCGCGATTGCTTACTGCAGGATAGTGGTGTTCAATTATAAACCTGCGGCCGCTAAGTGACTCTACAGGGGAGGGAGAAGCGAAAAAATTAGTCATGTAGAACATCGTATGTACCCCTGGCGGAGTCACCGGACGACTTTCTGGTTCTGCTAGTTTAAAGCCAATACATATTCCGTCGCTTCTTGCTCACTAATCGTTTGCCCCTGGGAAGGCGTCAGAACGCCACTTCTAATGGTAAGGGTCGTTACTTGCCTGTAAAGCCGGCAAAGTGGGAGAGATTCAGAGACTGGAGGCCACACTACTTGTACAAAGGAAGGACACCTTCGAATTGCTTGAGTGCGGGGACGGTCTTTAATTCGTGGCGGTGGAGATAAAGCAACAGGAAAGGGCTACACTATCCTGTTCTGGTCCGTACCAGGAAATCGGTTTCTTCATGCAGAAGAGGCAGATTTCGAGACAAGCTTTTAAAGCTCCTCGGGCTAGCGGGAATGAAAACAAAAGGCATGTACTAGTTGACTTGCCCAAAAAAAGCAGAGAAAATAGTGCGAGCAAAAAAATATGGGAGAAATCACTTCCAATAAGGTCCTACTGCTTACTGGCCAGAAGCAAAGAAACGATGGATGAGAATTTCGGGCTAGAGACGAAACAAGAGCAGCGCGAGAGAACGCAGACGAGCAAGATGACAGATACGACATCTATCGATGTGAGTCACTTGTGCAACCACCTCAGTGCCCCTACCTAACGGTTTTCTCGAGCGAAACCTGCTATCCACGTTACCTTTCTCGACAATGCGCTTCAATAAGTGATTGAGGAACGTGCCTTTGAATCCGTCGTCCAACATTTTCATGCACAAAAAGAATGCAAATTTTCTACACTTTGCGAGCTGGCGTCCGGAGCTCACAAAACTGGCGTACCGACCGTGAAATTATGGAGAAAGAAGATCGTCTATGGTTCATGGAAATTTTGTGATCGGTAGTTTTTCATCAGTTCATCTCTCATATCGTCACCAGGGCATGTAGCAGTTCTTGGAGAAAGATGTCGCGGTCTTCTTTGCCCCAATTTCGATTGATGTTTTCCG